TTATTTATTAAGCATTCACAAACATCATGTTAAACTATTTCTCGGATCTTTTAAATTCTTCCTCGCATTCCAGAAAAATACATTATTTGAAAAAAGGAATCTTTCCTATTTTGATTTCCTTTTGATTGATTTCATGCATCAAAGCTGTCAGGTTAAGAGGAGGGGAAAGGTAAAACCAGTGATTATGATTGATTTCGCTACATCTACAAAACTTTCACGACTCTTAGGGGCCGTGATTTGGATTCAGTTTCTTTCTTAAACGGCAAGACCAGGTTATTCAAACCAATCTGCCCACACTCTCAAAAAGCTCTGATTATGTACTTGCTGCCTGTAAAGGAATGCACAAATCACAAGATGGTATGAAAAACACTTAACTATTATCTCAAATATTCCGCTAAGAGCTGTGCAAGAATTTCCCCGTCTTGTGTGTGGTTTAACAAACAGCTCTGGGCTTATGTGAGACGCTGGTAATAGCTGCACAAATTAAATGACTTTGGAGACCCAGAACCCAGGAGGTAGGCGTGCAGCTTCTCAATGCCTTGGAAAAATGTAGAAAAGAAGGAAATAAATGTTATTCTGACACTTACTGTCATAAAGCACTTAAACAATAGAAATGTTTTAGTATTCTGTTGTTGTGACAATCAAATAGTAATGTTGTGATAATCAGGGCTGTCAATTGACAAAATGATATCTGAATTACTTGTCACTTAAGACAGTACTGGTGTGTACATTACAGATCTGTTAGGTTAAATTATTCACATGTTAGCTGATCAGTTTCGTTACATACTTTTTCCTGTAATTTTCTTGAGTTTTTCTTTTTTTGCACACTGTTGCATTTACTGTGCTAATCATTTTGATTGGCTGCCTGGTAAAGTTGGATTAATGCCTTAGCAAAATCATCCTCATAACTGCATCCTAAGAAATGTAGGTAAATATGGCTGTGCTCATGTATTCACAAGAAGAAAAATTGTTTTAACTCAAATATTTAACGGCCCCGCTGTTGATATATTTATTATTATAAACAGTTGTCCTGCAAAAAGACCAACTAATGACCCAAGGTTTCCAGGAAGACTCTGCAGTCTTGCCAATTAATGACATTTAGATTATTTTAACCAAATTTTGACAAGGGGAGAGCTTTTGCTGAACTGGAAAGCTCGTTCAGTGACAATCTCCTGCACCCTTAATGCACCAGGGACGGTTATCATAGATATTTCCCCCCAGCAGCTGTAATACTTTATAATCATCTATGTTCCCAACAACCTCAATAAGTTGTTACATTCCTACTGATTTTTGTAAAGTTTCTGTCTTAGTCACTGAAATAACATGCTGCTGTTTTTATGCACATCTCTGGTGTTGCTGCTATTTTCGCATATCCATAATTGAAAAATTGTCCCCAGCAGTATATTGATTATTTATTCTTCGAGTCATTGCATAGTATATATATTTATAGAAACACAGTACAGTGTAGTAATATATTTTGTTTATTTTAATTTTTTTTAAAGCTGACAGTTGCTTTGTTATTTTTTCTACGCTTTTAAAGTCCACATTTGTGTCACCACTTTTACTGTATTGTTGCTGTAACACCACAATTTCCCCATTGTGGAACAATAAAAAAATCCTATTCTATTCTATCTATCCCACAGCCATCTAACAGTAGACTCACATTTGGTAACTTTATGGAGAAATTTGGGTTGGTGTTAATATTGGAAATAAAGAAGGATATGTTTTTTTTTTTTTTTTTTTTTTTTTTTTTACAGTGTCCTGTCTGGCAAGGTGGCAATAAGAATAATTGTCTTGATGCCAAAAGGAGCCCAACAGATTTTACTTTCACAAGTGTAGCGGTATCGCAATTGCCATACCGCTCCACTTGTTTCATGTATATAAATTGCTTTATTATAATTATGCAGGGAGTTTTACAGTTCATATGGACACTGCAATGTAAGTAGAGCAGAAAAACAGAAGAAGAAGAAGGAAAAAGAAAAAGAAAAAAACAGGACAAAAGATGAAAGAAAGAGGAGATAGGAAGGAGACAATGACAAAACATTTTCAGTCTGCTTCAACACCTGTAATGAGATGGAGAAAAAAAAAAAAAAAAAAAAAAAAAAAGAACAGCACAACCAAAAAACATGGTACGAGATATACAATAAAGCAAACACCTTGAAACTATCACTAAAGTAATATTATTAAGTCTGACATGTACTCTGTGTTACCTGAAGATATGAATGTGGGGTTTCTGTTTGGAAGTGAATCTCTAAGTACCTGAAGCCTAGCACCTGTAGTTGTTTGTGAGGGTGAACTTGTGCATGTAAAGTTTTAACCATAGAAAAAAATGCTCAATAGTGGTTGTGGAGAGCCGGAGAGGCACACCCCCCAGAGCACTGAGTCCAGCGCCGGGAGACCCAAAGCCCCAGGCGCCCAAGGGGACCCCAGAAGCGAAGGCACCAAGGCGGGGCCAGCCCCGGAAATCAGACCCCACCAAGGCAGGAGGAGAGACAGCCACGAGGAAGCCCCCCAGCCACCGCCATGCCGGCGCCCCGGGGAGCCGCGGGGACGAGTCCGCGGGCCCCGCCGGCAGCCGGCCACCCCGAAGTAGGGCCGGGCGCCGAACACCAGCCCCACCACGGCGCCGACCGAAACGCCCCATCCCCACAGAGCACCGAAACACGCCCCGCCCCCCCGCACCAAGCCCCGGCGACCGGCCGCAACACCCACCGCGACCGCACCACCAAGGAAAACACTAAGGCGGCCCCGCCCCCGGCCGGGGCCCACGCGCATCCGCCGCGAACCGGCCACGAGCGCCGCGGGACCCCCCCCAAAACGCCCCCCCCCGGCCAAAAGCGCAGCCCCACCCCACCAAGACCGATGCCAACAGCGCGCAACGAAACACACCGCGCACAGAATCAGCCCGAGAGCAGAAAAGCCGCCCGGCGCAAAACCGCAAGAGGAGCAGACCGCAGCCGGCGCAACCACCCCCCCCCAGCAGCCCGAGGGGCAGCACAAAGCCAGAGCGGAGCGAACCGCGCCGCCCCCCCCACCGGACGATGCCAAAGCAGCCCAGCCACGTCCGCCACCCCCCCCCGCAGCCCGCACCAGGCCCCGACACTCGGCCGGGGCAGCTCCGCCGCCCCGGCCCTCCACCACGCGCCGGTCATAGCCACCCCAGGCCCCCACCCGCCCCGCAGCCCCACCCGCCGCGATCAGTGGGAACAGAGCAGCCCCGCCATGCCTCCAGGAGGGAAAACCCACCCGAATACCCAGCCAGCGCAGCCAGCCCGCCCAGACCGGCCCCCCAACACTACCCCCGCCGGAGCCGCCCGGACCCCCACACACCAGCGGCGCGCCGCCAGCAGGACCCCCACCCAGCAGGCCCGCCTGCCCCCCGAGAAAACAGTCATGCCAAACCCCCCAAAGAAAAAAAGAGAAAAAAAAAAAAAAAAAAAAAAAAAAAAGGGGCCCCCACAATGCGACAGCGGACACCAGACACCGACCCGCCCGCAACCGCTCCCCCCCCACCGAGGAAGAGAAAAAAAAAAATAAAAAAAAAAAAAATAAAAAAAAATAAATAGGTAAATAAATTAATTAATTAATAATTACAATTAAAATAAATAGGCAAGAGGAGAAGTGCGAGCGGAAAAACCGGAGCCCAAAACAGGACCCAAGACCCGCACCCCACCATACCGATACCACAGAACCGGCACAGGAAAGAAACACCGCCCAGGAACCGGCATCGTAGCGAAGGCACCGGCACCGACCCCGAAAATCCCCGAACAACACCCAGCCCCACCCCGAAGCGGATCCAGTCCCAGGCCCCAGGGATCCGAGGCCCCAAGGGCACCCCACCCCCAGACAGGAGCCCCAGCAAAGCCCCGGCCGGCCGGGGCCAGTGGAGAGGCCGCCAGGAATGAGCCAGCAGTCCCCCGGGCATCCACCCCCAGCTCCACCAGTGCACCGGTGAGCCCCGACGCCAGCCAGCGGAGGGAGAGCAGGACGGGGGGAATGGGCTCCGCACTTAGCGGAGACTTGAGATGTATTTGGGAGAGGGTGCGGTTGAGACCCCAACCTGGGAAAGAAAAAAAAAAAAAAAAAAAAAAAAACACCATCTCAATCATGCCTTCCCTCCCTAGTGCCCCCACTCGTACCACAGGAAAAAAAAAAAAAAAAAAAAAAACACCATCTCAATCATGCCTTCCCTCCCTAGTGCCCCCACTCGTACCACAGGAAAAAAAAAAAAAAAAAAAAAAAAAAAAAATTGAATAAAATAATAATAATAATAAATAAAGAAAATAACAACGCAGACACACATTCACACATAACACTCACATCCAATAATACCAGGACCAAAAACCCGGTGACACCGGTGGTCGGTCCCGGGACTATCGGATGACCCCATAAGTGAACCTAAAATCCGGATGTGAGGGGAGGGGAGCGGCGACACCGCCACACCAACCCATCTCTTTCCTGCTTCAAGCCCGGCCCCCCACCCCGCACACGGACCGGACCACCCCCCGCAAGAGCCCCCCCCGGGACCGGGGCCCACCCATCCCGCGCCGGCCACCCAACCAGAACCGCCCAGAAGGATATGTTTTTAATGTGACAGGATTCTTTTACTTCTTAAATACAAATATTCTTTAACTGCAGTTTAATTTGCATATGAAGTCCCTCAGGGTCATATCTTAGGCCCTGTCTTATTTTGAATTCTGTAAGTTAGTTTAGTTTTTTAATATTTATCTACTTTTAAAAAAGCAATATACGTCTACGTCTGTTATTTTAACATTTCTACTAATATAATATCATTCATTTAGGTGGATCCATTATTTTACAAGCCTTTAGTGAACTTTCTAAATGAGATCAATGGACACTATATCACCTCTATAAACATCAGAATTTCTCATCATTTTTCTTTTATAAATTGCTTGAAAAAATAAACCAACAATAAACTTGTTTCCAAAGTGATGAATATAACATGACTTCATTGGGTTTTATGTTTTTCTGTCCTCCAGCATTGAGCCCGTGTCCTGTCTCTGCAGCCTCAACCACAAGGTGTCACTCCATCTACAAAGGCTTTGCTCAGTGTCTGATGGCTCTGGGCGAAAGTTTGACCAACACCGCCCACAAGGAGGAGGAAACCCACGAGATACACTTCATCTGCAGGTCAATCACACTCAAAACACTGGTGAATTACAAATGATGAGAAAACACTGCCAGATGCTGACTTTCAATTATTCTAGAGCAGCTCATTCTGTATGAATGGGTGTCCAGTTACTTTGACAAGGTGGGATTGAGGGATCAGAAGCTCGGTCTGAGCTGGAGATGAGCCTGTGAAGAAGACTTTAAAAATTTATGAATCTACAGCCAGTGTTCTATCTGATGTCAATACAGCACATTGATTCCCTTTTGTCCTACAACACCACAAATCAAATTGTTGGATCATTGCCTCTTTGTATAGAAGTAGAATGTGTTCCTGAAAAGCTGCATGAAGATTAAGGAATGCAATTAATAAAAAAAAAAAACTAGAAAAAACTTAAAGTAAACAGTTTAATAGTTGGTTAAAAAAATAAGGAGGTGAAGATGACATTATAATAATAAGTTTTATACTTAATTCAATATGGGGTCCTCAGTGTATGTTGGGACAAACTGGTAATAGGCCTATTGGTGAAAAAAATCGTTCAGAAAGTCATAAGAGTCTTCCTAATTATGCTCTTTTAAATGTAACACAGATAATGAGAATATCTGATTTAAATGTTTCTTTCATTAAAAAAGCTATTTTGATCCTTCCTTGTAATGCCAGCTTGATACTGCTGCAAACTTCTAAAGCCGGTGAGACAAGGACACTTCAAGCAGAGGACAAACTTTCTATCCTCAGCATGCCTTAATAAAGCTGAAGGGATCCTATAAAATTTTTTGGATTTGGAGAAAAATCCTTGAGAAGTTTCAAGGATTTTGCACAACAGTTGCTTTTGTTACAATTTCAATGTTTTTCTTGTAAAATGGCAAGAATTGCTCTGTTGCGCAGGTTGTCATGACATAAAACTTTTGCCCCTTTCTTATAATTGAATTTTTACTGTAAAATACATCTATTTCAAAGAGGGCCTTCCCTTTTTGGATTCATGCCAACTTAATTATTTTTTCCTAACTTGTGATTTTCTGTCAATGTGACAAAATTGCAGCAAACCTGTGGAACCTACGTTTGAAGGCTAGTGTTAATTCCCAGTTACATCTGCTGCCAAACCCCAGTGAGCCTTAACTGTTGCAGACTTGATATTTAAGGGCTAAACAATCCATTTGCCCTATCACCTACATGGTTCGGGACGGCCCTTAATGTGATGGACCCTTTGTGGGAAACCTGATGCACTCCCATGCCAACCCAATCCCAAACTAGCCCAAGCCTTGACTAGCAGAGAAATATAATTTCAGCTGCTTGTAAAAACATGCAGCAAACACCGAAATGAGCAACAAACACGGATGATGCAAAGTCCAAAAAACACAAATAAACAAATGCAAAAAAATAAAATAAAATGCTGCAAACGGAAATTGCTGCAATCACTATGGATAGAAGCAAGAAACTTCAGCCAACAATCACAGGAATAAACTAATGCAAATAGCAAAAACCCAGGATAAAAAAAAAGGAAGTTGGAAGAAGAGAGGAGAGGTTGGCTATCTGTCTTTACAATGTCAAACACATTGGCTTTGTCCTAAATCCCTCAATTACTATATGGAGCAGGGCCTATATACAGTAGTGGACTTTATTGTGAACTCAGTTAACCGACCTTTTGGACAGATCATCACTACTTCTCACTCCCTGTTGATCATGTAACTCTGCATTGTTCCTGCGCCATCTTTGTTATTTGTTGCTGCTGTAGGGTAGTGACAGCCTATGGTCACAGTGGGCCGCTGGGGCAACAAATCCTGTGATGCTTCCTTGCAAATCATTCTGGGATATATCTGCTCGTCTAGTGCCCATGGATAATCACTACTTTTCAAGGTACATTGTGGAAAATGTTGAGTCCTATACTTTTTCATCCCTTAGACATTTGGACACTCATCTAAAAAGGCCGCAACCATGATATAGTGCCCTATATAGTTGTTAGGGATGACATTCGGACACAGCCATTGTCTTGCACTATCATAGAGTAACAGCATAATTTTGAAAAAAAGGTTTCATGTTGTGCACATTGAAAGTACTTAAGGGCTGAAAAATACAGAATTCTTTTAAAAAAGTCAAATGCAAAGACCTACTCATTGTGAATTGTGTGTTTAAGTTTAAAAAGACAAAACATCCGAAGTTTTAAAAGAAAATGAACAAACTACTCTGATTATTAAAGAAATAGGATCTCTAAATATTGATTAGAACATGCACCAATGTCTTACCTAAATGATGCAATGCAGTTTCTTTTTTCAGAAAAAAGAAAAGCAATGCAGGTTCTTTTTTCAGAAATCTTGGGTCTAATGAGAGAAAACCAACTAAAAAGGATTTTCACAGTCTTTTAAAATGTTTTCTGTTCATAAGTTTAATGAATTCCTGTCTGCTTTTAAATTAAGGTCAGTGAATGTCTGCTTTCCTATTTGCTGTTCAATTAAGGTGGAAGCAAAAATGTGTTGCTAATAATGATAATAAATATATATTTTGCTGTGGTTTCAGTCTCAGAAAGAGTAATATCATACAAATCAAGCCAATGTTGAATCATTATTGAACTGTGATTGGGACCACACAAAATCATCCAAAGGACCCCAAATGTCAAATAGGCCACAGCCCAGAGGTCCTTCCAGTCCTGCTCCATTCTTTGCACTTTTCTGATCTTAAAAGCATCTTTTGGATCTGTGTTATGAAAACATTATGTCTGTTAAAAAACAACATTAGTAACAAATTTAACATTATTAAAAGGGCTAGTTGTGTTAAAAGTGTGTGTCATTGAAAAATGTTCTGCTCTGCCTCCCTGGAGGTTTTTCTTATTCTCTTTTTTTTTTTTTATATACACATCAAGTGAATCCATTCCCGTAAAAATGAGATCACTCTTTTATGTACTTAAGTTAATCACAGGTCATTTGTTAAAGCAAATTAAGCAAGCAAATTTAAAATCATAAAAGCAGCAGAAGCAACCTTAATAATGTCCAACATAAAACTAAACAGGTGAACTGAAATATGTCAGGCGCTCTATTTATTCTGTACATGGTTTTGCTCAATTCAGTTCTATAGTGTCTTCCTTTGTTAAATATTAAATTATTAATTTGACTTTTATTCTGCAGTGTCATGTCTCCCCCTTGCAGCTCAAATAACTAAAACGTGTTCTAGTATTTCATTTTGCAGGGTTATTAGTTCATAATATTGGCTTCTCGAACTGGCTGTGTTTAACACTACTTCACAAATCATTCAAAAAACTAAAATATGAATTCCATAGAAGATGTTTAGGCTTTTTATGCAACAGTAATTACACTATTAAAACTCAATAGACCTTTAAGAGGATATTTTCCCAGTAGTTTCTGTCAGAACACTAACAGTTTCTTATGTGTTCAGCAGTTGTGATAGCAAACACTACATTACAACCTGCTGGAGCAGGTAACCCTCTAACACCTGCAGGACCCCGGCCCTCGAGGACCGGCTTCGGGCATGCCTGGCTTCGAGTGGCCTATACCCAACTTGTCAATCAGGGCCTTCTAAAAAAATCTCTTGTCACACAGATGGTAGTTAGATCTTGAACTGGCAGATTGTGCACAGTTTCTTAGAGCCCCTTTTTGATGCAGGACAACAACAAGCAAATAAACCATCCATCATCATGTACCGGCAGGTCAACAGTATCTCTGAACAAACATACTCCACATTCTTCTACTGGTGGAAAATCCAGGTACAGAAAACAGTGCGGCTGACAGGCCGGATGAAAGCAGGAAGGCTCAGTGGTCAGGAAATGTTTCCTTTCAGTACACAAACAGGCAGAGCTCAGTAGTCCGAAGACAGGTCAGGCAAAACCATCAAACAGGAACAGGCAGGTTTAGAGCTTGAGAGGCAGAACAGATCTGGATCAGGTAATCAGAAAACAAGACAACAAGTCTCACCAAAGAATAAAAATAATTTGGCACTGAAGATTGTTCTAAAGGCTGCTTCTATAGACTCTAATCGAGGTGGATCAGATGAGTGGCTAAAGAGATCAGACCAGGCATCAGTGCTGAGATCATGACAATTCTAAATAGACAGGATGGTGTTCCTAGACTTGCAGCGTTCAAGTCTGAGAACACAGTCCCAACTTTGAAACAACAACTACTGACTTACTAAATAAAAGCATAAAAAATTGGTTTCTAATACTCGATCTGAAGGTGAAAACTGGCCATCTGATGACAAAAGTTGAATATACTCTTTCCTGTTCTCTTCCCCTATATTTCTTCCATTACTTTGTCTCTTCATCTCCTTTTGCCATCCATCATCTGTCCCTCGCTCTCTATCACCTCTGCTCACTACTCTATTTATATACACCTTTGTCATCAATCTAAGTCCTCTGAACCATGACCAAGAATATATTTATATGGGAACAGTCAGACAGTAAGACTTGAAAGTTATATTTCTGTCAGGAGACGCTTTTTATTTAATGTAAACAATAATCATTCATTTTAAAATCATCCTAACAGAGCCTCTAGAGGTTTGCAGCTACACTTAAACTCTGATTAAGTGCAAACTCTGCAAAGCTGACATGTTAACTTCTTGTTCAGCCAAGTGTAACAGGAATTGTGACTCGCATTCTTTCCTGCTACATTATGAATGAGCCATATGAAAAGTAAAAGGGAAATTGTGACTCAAGCACGCTCCATAAAGAGATTACCGTTATATAATTCACACAGAGTTTTTGTTGAACATAATTTGTCACTGGCTCCTGGAAGGATTTTCCTTGTGGAAAAAGGAGATGTTTATGCAGATTTACAAAGCATGACAGTGCAATCCTTTAGGAAAATCTAAAGAGGATTTTCTGAATAGAGTTTGATGTCTTCAAAATCTCTCATTTGTTTTACTTCTTTGTGCTCTCTCTGTTGTTTCTTTTACGATTCACTAAAATTAGCAGTTTTGTACAGACATTCATGGTTCAGGGTGATGAATGTTGAGTTATTCTTTAGTGTACTTCAGGTAAGAGCTTTTAGGCAATGGGATTGAATCCAGTCTTTTTAGCCCC